CAATTAATTAATTGGAATGCAAAATATTAAAACTAATATGGTAAAAATTATAGGTTTGCTTTAAAATGACTACAGAGGTAAAAATCAGTGATAAAATAATTGTCTTTGATTAATTGTATTCTGTATTTTCTATAAGAATTATTGATTTATTATGCTGTTCACAATAAAAAAAATAATAAAAAGATTTCCTCTTCATAGTTTGAAGTTCACTGAATATTTTCCGAAATTTTCATTTTTAATTGAGAACCGTAGATTTTCTGCACATTTCCCAGTAAACCATATTTACATGGGGAGCCATTTACAAGAGTTTAAAGCTAATTTTGCAGACGTTCTGACAGTGCTGGCCTTCACAACGTGCGTCTGWATCGATGAATGAGATTAGCACACTTACTTTACCGATACAGAAACTTTCCATCTTTGTTTGTCCCACTTCAAGCTTTGTGATGTCAAAGGATGCCGTCCCAAGTGTCTCATCCATCACGTAATTGGCATCCATCAACGTTAACTGGTTAGAACAAACAACATTAGTTTATACTTTAAAAAGAAAAACAACAAGTTCACTTGAACAAATCCTGTTTTCAATAATCAAGTTTCATCAAGGTGTTAAACTAAGTCAAAAGTTAAAGTTATTTTCGAGAGGAAAAAACTATTTGTATATTTCGATGATGGTAAACATGAGTCAGTCCGGTGCTATTCTCTAGTGGTTGCACTTCCATRTTTCCTCATTAGAGTCTAAAAAAAGCAAACTGTGTTTATGTGGAATTATGCCTCAATGCATCGCTGCTTGTCTTCCTGTACTGGACTGAACTGGATGTAAGAATGCAGGTCTAACCTCCAGGATGTTGTGCTGGTTGGGGTCTAATATGAAGTGAAACGTCTCGTTCCATTTCGGATTGATGTTGTTGTCTATGTGTTTGGTCTTCTTCCTGCTCTCCGGGGCCGTCGGGATGAACAACTCCACGTATGGATCTGGAGTATCCACTAAAAACACGCACATTCAACTCATCATTACAACATGACARAAATACAACCTTCAACCTATATAGCTACAAACATTTTTTTTTCACTCAAAATGTTGTAAACATGCAGCAAACCCTGAATAACATGTCTAAAAATAGTTTTTTCAGACTTACGCAGATCACCCAGTGCACCTTTGGTGACATTTTCAGCTCGGACCACCGTCACAATAAACTTGTGAGAAAACTGCTGCTCCACCTGCAAAATGACAATTTAGGGTTTCTGTCATGTGTGGGAAAATGAGACAAACCACAGCGAAAACAAACAGATCAAATCCACTGAAAAAAAAACACACAAGAGTAAAATGTGATAGAATCAGACTGAGTGCAAATTTCTGCACTAATTAGTGAGGGGGTGGATTTTTGGCCAAATAACAACGATACTCTTACTCATTGTGAAACTCTTTAGTTCAATCCTCAGCTGTGCTTATTTTAGTTTATGCTGATGGTAATTACACAACGATAACTAACTGTTGATTCCCATTGTCAAAGAAACATGCAAATGCAATTTTTTTTGCAACATGTAAAAAAATTCCAAGGGGTGTCAAATTTAGAATGTAATGACGGTTTTATTTATTTGATCTTTTTTTATTTATTTACTTTTTTGTTTGTTTGTTGGAGACTAGCTGGTAAATCAAACCTGACTCAGTCAAACAGGTGAAAATGATTTTTTTTTTCTGAATTCCCGTATGAATTCTGAGTATTTACAACCACTGCCTGGCTCTGTTTCATGTGGCCAATTTTTGAAAATTACAGCATATTTTTGCATGCATGACTTGCAAAACTGTGTTGTAGGCCATGCGTGTTACTTCCACCTACATCATACCCACCTCTGCCTACTTTGTATCCACTTTGGCAGCAACCCCCACATTTATGATTTAAAGGTACTTACTGCAAATTGTACGCTGTCACTGTTTGGGGTTTTGTGGTGTTTTTGTTTGTTTGCCAGCAGGGGCGGAGCTAGACTTTTTGGCGAGGGGTGACAAAGGTGTGTTTTTTTATGGGGTACGTACAAATAAAAAAAAGTACTCTGGATTCAAAAACTCAAGATGGCCACCACAGCTAATTCCAAAATGGCTTTAATTTAGCTGTTTTAAGAAATATTGAGCTGACATTTTGTGTGATTGTAGCAAAGAATGATTAAAAAAAAGTGCCGAATGCTAGTCACAGCTGATTATTCCACCCTTTTTAGACAAACAAAGCTGAAGATTAATGTAGAGGTAGCCAAAAACAATCTTTACCCACTTTTAAATGCCACTACAGCTAACTTTAAAAGGTTAACATTCAGCAATTTTAAGACTTAATGAGATTAAAGTTGTGGAGTAGCTAAGAATGATCACATGCTACTGCTAATCCCAAATTAAGCTAACCACAAATGCTAATGCTAAAAATGGCTACAATTCAGCCATTTTTAAACATATACAGCTAAAAACTTATATAGTACAATAGATTTAGAGCATAATATTTAACAAAATCTAAATGAAAATACAAAATCTATAAGATCCCCTTTGGGTAGGAGGGTGGTTGGGGGGCTAATCAAGTGCCAGAGAAAGCACTTTCCATGCCAGACACCCCTCTGGTTCTGCCCGTGTTGCCAGTATATTCCGTTCTGCCAGTGTTTTTGTTACCTGTCCAGCCTATCAATTTATTTTGTGTCCCATCCTCTTGATTTGCTTTTCAGTCCAACCATTTAAAATCATCCCAGCTGTTCTCAATTACAAATCATGCTGTTCATTTACGTATACTGTACGACTCTAACTCATCGTCAGATCTTTATCTGTAACTCTTCTGATCAGTCATGTGTTTTCTGGAGACTCCCTCGTGAAGTTCTACCTTAAAGGGAAATATTCTCAAGCTAACAGCAACTCAAAGCAACACCCATTAATGAGTCAATCTTCATCATCAAACAGAGGCGATTGCTCTAAGACTGCAAGGGAAGCTCAGCTTCCCCTAAAATGCAATAAAAAAGATCAAATATATACTGTTGTGTGTACATGTCATTGATTAAATATGCGCTACAACGCACTCAACTTTTGTTCAGAATCAGCTTCTTATCACTGGTAACAACGCGGCTTTCCTCATTTCACTCATTCCCGCAGCTTCACAGTGCTTTAAACTGTGCGGACGCTGAGCTTACACATAGCTCATTAGCGATGCAAAGACTGCAGTGAAACAAGACAAGTCATTGGATAAATGCTGGCCCGCCCATCGGACGCTGAGCGTCTCTGGGGGTCTATGGGCTGTGGGCTGGCCTCGGCCGGCCCGGATGCTCAGCTTCTGCATGATGATTGGATGATCTGTCGGTGACTGAGTCTCTTTTTGATTGACAGAGAAATGAGCGAATCAGCAATCTTTTGATGTAAACATTCCATGGGAGTATTTTGATTCTGTTCTGAGTTAAACCGGAGACTTTATTAATCCTTTTAGCAGCATTTTCATTGTTAAAAACGACTAGTGACAAATCGAGCTTCTATTTCTGGCGGGTGTTTTGTAGCTGCTTATGTTTGGAGTCTCTTTCTGACTTCTATCGCAGTTTCTGTCCATCGGRGGCTGTGGAGCCCCTTCACCATCACAAAGCACTCACAGGCGGACGCACTTCTCTCTAGCCTTGCGCCAGTAACAAGCTGCACATATGAAAGATAGTTTGAATGCTGTGGACTGGATTTTGAAGAAGCCATTTGATAGTCTTCCTTACAAAGAAAAACTTAGTGTTAAACAGCAGGGCTGATCAACTCCTCAGATTGATTTGGTGCAAAAGGTGGGGAAAAGTAAGATTTAAAAAACTTTTATTGATCCCACAGTGGGAAAAGTAACAGGTCTTTTCAGCTGTCCTGGTATGACAAAGTGAGCTGGCTGCTGTACTATAGAATAATCTGGAAAATGATTATAAAAGCATTGGATCAATTAATTCCTTTAAAAAAATTATCAAAGCAAAATTGTTAAAGAAATAGGAAACTGATTAATTTGAATGAGTCACTGTTTGAGGAGTTGAATTTTTTGTTTTGTTTTATTTGGTTTATTGTTTGAAATGGATATTTTTGTAAATAGGAACAGATATAAGATTTTTCTTCTG